TTCAGATCCGCTTTGCAAGCCCGGTCATTATCAGATGAAATTACTGGAGCAACAAATGTCATCGCCATGCAAATGAGATGCTTGCAAAGAAAGAATGTTTGGCTGGCAAGGGGGCCCTCGTAGGCCCCGGGAAAAAAGGGACCCCCCTGCCGCACGTTGATTAAAAAAATAAAATGAAATCCATCAAGTAAGCAGTCACGACCAGACTTCACAGCAAACTCCACAAGCAAGACAGAACCACAATTTCCAGAGATGCCAGAAGAAAACCCAGATAGGTGACCTTCTGTCTGGAAGTAAGGAGAGGATGAATGGAGGTCCAGTTCCCTCAGACACCATGGACATCTTTGTCCACCGGCTACGCCAACTGATGGCCCTTGCCAAACCCAATGGCTCTCACGCCCTGGAATTACCAGTCTCTCAAAATCCAAAGACGCCCCTTTCTTTTCTGGGGGGTGGGGGTGGGGAGCATGCTCAAAATGGTAGCTTCCATTGTTTTATTTTAACCAGGATTACCCATGATTACTGGCACCTCACCACCCACGCTGCTACTCCAGAAAGAAAAAAAAAAGGACGATGGTGGTGGGAGAAATCGGAAAGAATTAAATTTTCTAAATTTCTTTTGGGGGGGGGCGGAGGAGGGGAAATAGAACTGGTAGCTACATTTTAAATTCTCACTAAAGACCCTAGCGCAGTGTTCCCAACCTTCCTAATGCCTGGACCCTTTAATACAGTTCCTCATGTGGTGGTGACCCCCAACCATAGACTTATTTTTGTTGCTACTTCCTAAGTGTCATTTTGGTGTTATGAATCAGGTGACCCCTGTAAAAGGGTCGTTCAACCCCCAAAGGGGTCTCGACTCACAGGTTGAGAACCGCTGCTGTAGTACAAAAAACCCCACAAAAACCCAAATGTTGTTCTGAGACTGTGGGCCTAATTTCCCAACGTCCAAGGACGCACTCAATAAGTTGCATGCACTTGGCTGCTTTGAAGCAAAGGACCCAGCATCTTAGACTACTTGCAAATACACTTGCAAATTCTTCCCTACAACCAAGCAGAACTCCCAATGCGTTTCCCAAGGAGGCGGCATCCATCTGAGAAGAAACGCGGGGTTAGGAGGGATCTCAGCAGCTTGCTTGGTCGACCACACAGGCCGTCGGGTCGGGGCGCACAGCTCTGGCCATGGTGGGGACAAGCGAGTGCAGACCCAGCCTGGCAAGGCCACACCCCCCGCTACAGGAGGCATAAAGCCACCTCGAGAGGGTGAACAATACCCAGCAACCCCACCATCCTGGGCAGAAGCGTCCAGTTACCTTCTGTGCAGAAACGGAAACCCACAAACCCATCTGAGCTCAACTCGCAGGGCCCTCGGCACCGGTTCTGAACTGGAGAGCCCAGAAGACCCCCCCGCGGAGGATATACCCCCACCCCTCCCACATCCCAGGACCTCACAGCTACCTGCTTGCCAGGAGGCCCGCCTTCCGAGTGTGGTGGGTCTGTAAAGACGTATAGTGTGCGTGTGTGACAAGTCTTGTGTGTTGAATGTATGTACTGTGTGAGTGCCACGTGCACCACATATACTGTGTACGTTGTGTTTCTCTGGGGGTGCTGTATTGTGCTTTGTTGTACGTGTCTTGTGCTGTGGTATGTCTGTGGATGGTGTCACATTAGGGAGTTTGTGTTGTGTGTGCCTGTGGCATTACATACACATAATGCATGTTATGTATGTTACATCTGTGTGTGTGGTCCATGTTACGCTGTGGTATGTATGCCTGTGGGTGACAGGTCCGCATGTGACTAATGTTTGTATGTGATGTATTACAAGTGTTATGGCATGTGTCCAATGTGGGTGGCATGTGTAGGTGTATGTGGATACAAGTGTCTCTCCCCCTCTAGGCTTAAACAGTCAAACATCCAAGGCCAGTCCTGCCCCCACCCTCCTCCTGCCCCCCACCCACAGCAGAGAGGGGGTGCGGGTAGGGGCAGGCAAGTTACTTGGTTCCGGTGCGAGCATGGTCGACATGACGATGGGGGCGCCCGTCCTGCGGGCCACCTTCTGGAAGGGGGCCTGCGCAGTGTGGCGTTCCGCGGGGACCGCCGGCTTCCGCAGGAGCTGGGGGCTGCCGTGGGGGCTGGGCAGGGGGGACGCGGCTGCGCTGCGCTCCCGCTTCAGCAGCTCCATGGGCACCGTGTAGGCCGTGGAGTAGGCGGTCCTGGGGCCCGGGTGGAGGGGGCTGGAGGTGCCCGAGTTAGTCAGGGCTACCCCGGCCTGCGCGGAGTATGTGGGCCCCTGGCGAGCCGTCAGGCCGCAAGGGATGGGCGAGCTGTACCCCGAGTTGGAGTTGGGGTGGGGTGTGTGGACGCCCACTGCGGGGGCACAGTAGGTGGACGCTGTCTCCAGGAGGTGCTGCGAGGGCGCGCTCGAGGGGCGCCGGGTGAGGTCTCCACCCTGAGGGGGTGCCGCCTGCAGGGGCCCCAGGGCCCCGACGTCGGCGTGCAGCAGTTCCCGGGGCCGTCCGAAGCTGCTGGCGCGCGCCCGCGGCGGGGGGCACGCGCGTTCCTGCCGCCACAGCTGGGTCTCCACGCGGCAGCTGGTGGCCAGGCGGCTCAGGACGCGCGCCTGCCCCAGGTTGGGGGCCACGGCCTGGATGTCGGCGTCCTCCAGGGTGGCCAGCACGGCCGGGCAGTCGAAGCCTTGCTGCAGCAGGGCGTCCAGGGTGCTCTCGGCCACACCCTCGGCCCGCAGCAGGGCCAGAAACTCGGGGAGCACGCCACGTTTGCCGCTGGGGCCCTGGCGCGGGGGCAGGACCGCATCGTAGTCCTCGTAGGCCATTTTTGGGGGGACACTCTCCCGGGAGGGGCCGTAGCTGGGATTCAGGGGGCCTGAGGCTGCTCCCGGGGTGCCGTCGGAGGCGGCCACGGCACTAGGGTCCACCACTAGGCACGTGGGGGCCGACGGCCTGGCGTGGGTGGGGTCCCCGGGCCTCTCGCCGCCATTGTAGAGCGGACTGGAGGGGTAAGCACCTGCCTCAGCCGCATACCTGGCATCGGGCAGCTCCGCTCCGAACCGCGCAGGAGGCGCGTTCCCGCCCTGGGCCCACTGGCCGGGAGGGATCATTTTACCTCCAGGGTCCCGATACAGGTGCGTCGTGTCCTGCAGGCCAGCAAACCGGCCTGGCACTTGATCCCAGGCCACTCTGCTGCCCAGCACCCCGTAGCTGGCCGCGGGCCGGCTCACTCCGAGGCCTTTAAAGTACGGAGGCTCTCCGGGCGGCCTGGCTGCAGCGGCAGGCTCGCCGAAGAAGTCCCGCGGCGGCAGGGAGCTGCTGGCGGCCATCACTGCCTGCCGGCTGCCGTAGAAGGCAAGGTCGGGGACAGAGCCCTGGCGGGCGCCCAGCGCACCGAACACGGCCTCGCGGTAGAGGCAGGGCTCGCGGGTGGCCTTTCCCCGGGGCTCCGGCTGCTCGCGCCACGCTCTCTCGCCCGCCAGCGCTGCGGAGCCCCTCCTCGCCGGCCGCCCGGGCTCCTGGGCGCCCTCCCAGGGGTCTTCGTACCAGCCGGCGGCGTGCCAGCTCTGCGATCGCCCGATGTCCAGGGGCCTGCTGGGCACCGGCATTGGAAACGCGGGGCAGGCGCGCGGCGGGACCGAGGGCGCTTTCTTCACGGGTCTTCAGTTACAGCCATAGCAAAGGGAGCCGCAGCCACAGCCCAACCTCCCCGGGCTGCAGGGACAGCCCGCGGGGGGCCGGGGCTCGGGCTCTGATTTCAAAGGATGCCCTAAATTATTAATCATCCGAAACCTTAGAGGACAGAATGCGCACTCGCCGTTCACTTTGCCTTCCCCCGCCCCCACCCCTCCCCGGCAGCCGAAAGGGTCTGGCTCAGTCCCAGGAAGGGGGAGCTGCTCGCGGACCTGGAGCACCCCGCTCCCCACACCCTGCCCCCCTTGCCTGGCCGGCTCACATGGACCTTGGCGCTCTCAGCGTGCGGATTAGGAGCTAAATAAAACCTCTAAGCTTTTGTTCCACGTGACACCCTGGTCGGCTGATGAAACTACCGATGCTCCTCCATCCAGGCCTACCCAGGGTAGAAGCTCCAGCTTTGCGCTCCAGGTCCTACCCCCCACCCCCCAGGTACTTTTAGGACAAGCCCCTCCCCCAAAGCCCAGCCCCAACAGTGACAGCCGCCAGTGTGTCTTAATCCACCGGATGAAACGTTAATCCCCGGGAACAAGCGGGCAGGGCTCAGCAGAGGGCTCTCTGGCTAGGCATTCAAGTCAGACCCGGAAGCCTTAGTTTACCAAGTCATCCCTGTCCAAAGCAGGTGTGGGAGAGGGGCAGGAGAACCACCATTGCCGCCGCCACAAACTGCCACCCGGGCCTGAACCACCATGCGATGGCAGAAGAATAATATAAGACGAGTTGTGACTAATCCCAGTATCACCAAGCAAAGCCAGCCGGGCGTGGGGCTCACCTGCTGTTGACTATGCTGGGGAATAATTTAGCACACAGGGCCTGGATTCAGACCCTGCGGGAGGGCGGCCACATCCCCTAGGCCTAAGCTTCCACTTAGCTCACCTGGTAGACAAACTTCAAAGACCCGGCTATTGAAAGGCGCCAGATAGGCGCAGCAGCCACACAGCTCTGGAAGACCTTGGCACATTCCGAACACAGTAGAGTGCGGTGTGCGGGGGCCCTCAACGGAGAATTTACAAATAGATTAAAACGTGGTCACCAGGGCACAACAAAGAGTTCGTTTCCAACCTTTCAAAGGGAGGGAAGGTGCTTATTTGCAGCCATTAAACTGAAGGGTGTTTGGCCTGTTCTTTTGTTTCTCAATCCAAGATTCATCTAGAAGCTTCTTCACCCAAGAGTCAATACTGAAGCAGCCCTGGGAGGAAAAAAGTGGTCCAATTTGTTTCCACCACCACTCCTCAAACAAAAAAATGCTGAGACAAGTCACTTTTAAAAGCACACTTACCTTTTCCTGCAAAGAGCAGGGGTTCCTGGCCACTGTCACCTGGTGAGGGGCTGTCTGGACCAAGTCGAGATGGCCCCAACCCATCATTCTGACCAAGATGCGCTAAGCATGCAGTTAGGCCCCACCCCCGGCCCAGTGCAAGGGAAATACACTGCAGGCTGGCACAAACAACATCTACACTCTGCACCTTTGAGCTGTGTTCACTACAGAGACACGCTGTAAAGGGCGGGCAGGCACAATGCCACAAACTGGATAGATCCGGCATAGTCCTGTTACAACACACTTCAGGCCCTGGCGGGGCTTCTGTGCAGTTCCCTTCCCAGGAGACGCCAGATCAAACTGAGGTGGGCCCCCCACGCCCTTCCCAGGGACATGACTCAGGGCGACAGGTTGGCATGCCTTAGAGGCTGGTGGGCCCAGCAGGGCAGGGCACATCTAGGGCTAACGTGTGCAAGGCACTCAATCAGGTACTGTCTGGCAGTTCCCGTCCACCTCTTAGCTCGCTGCCCTCTGCGTCCAGTCCCAAGGTGCCCACCCCCCCAGAGCCGGCCTGGTGTTCTCCCCGATTCCCTGCCGCCTGCCCGAAACACTCCTGCTCCCGCCGCAGGAGCCGGTGGGGGGAGCTGCAATCCCCGGACGCCGGCAAACGGACGGACCGTACCTCGTTGGCTGGGGCTTGGCGTGGAGCAAGCCCACAGGTGCCATCTTCCCAACAGCACGTGCTCGCTTCCCGCCTCCGGGCCGCACACGTTGGTGATTCTCGCAGGGTACACTTTCTCAGAACGCTCCATTGCACGCTCAGAAGACCGCAGCGGCGGTGCAGACCCAACTTCTGCCGGCTCCGCGAAGCCGACACCCCCAGGCCCGCTTTACGGCAGGCTCGCTTTACGGCAGCCGCGTGCCCCCCAGCCCGCAGTCACTCCGACGTGCAGCCGATCACCATCGCATCACGTGGGGCCGGAACCACGTGAGCGTCGGAAACACGTGGACAGCGCAAACCCGCACGGCTGCTGTGGGCCAGCGCCTAGCCTCGAACCCACGCGCAGCGCCGACAGCGCCGACTCCCCGCCAGAGCAGTTCCTTGCCCTGCCCCTTCACAGACACACACCACGGAAGTGTGGGGCAACGTTAGGACGGCGCGCTGGTGGTATAATGGTGACACGCTGGGCGGCATCGGCAAGGTCCACAGTTCAAGACCACCAGCCTCTGCATGGGAGAAAGAGGGCGCGTTCTATTCCCATAAACAGTTACGGCCTCAGAAATTCTCACGGGCAGCTCTGCCCTGTCTTACAGGGTCGCTATGCGGCGGAATCGATGGCAGTGAGGTTTTCTTTTTTGGGGTGGGTGGGGGGTAATGCTAACACCCTGCATTGGGCACGAGTGTGAAGGGCCTCAGATGGCGGGGTGATGGCACCAGCCAGGGTCTACAATGTGAAGCAGGGCAGGGCATTAGAATGTTGACCCCCCCAAGAGCCTACCAGGAACCTGTGGGGGGGCAGGTTTGCGAGAAGACAACTCACCCTGTCTGTGTGTGAGGAAGCCCAGGCTCCCTTCCCTCACTTTAA